AACTAAAAAAATATAGTGACTTAATCCGCTATTTGGATATAAATGGAGTCATAACAAAGGCGCCATGCATAATTTAGAACGATTTGCTATAACCGGATGAAGTTAAAGTTGGCCTTCAGATTAATTTGAGTCTTAGGACCTTTTATGAAATGCAACCCAAGGTAAAATCTAACATTGCAAGTAACAAATAGAAAGACTCTTACGGCAAACTCAGCATGAATGGCATTGTTCATATATTTATTTCTTTTCCTGACCATATAACCATCATTAAAGCTATTTGCTATTTGATATTAACATTCGTTAATGGACCAACAAAAATGATTAACAGAGATAAATTTAATAGGTGGGCGTCAAGGAACGCGTCTTTAAATGTGGCTGTTTAACTTTCCATTAAGACAATTGTCCTTTTGTGATCTGTAAAAGGTTGAGAATTAATAGTTTCTTTCAATGTTATGTTTTCATCTTATATATTTCCAGTAAAATTCAGTTTAACTTTCCATTAGGACAATTCTCGTTAAGTGATATGTATAAAAGTAATCGTTTCTACCAATTTCATGTTTGTATCATTAACATTTTCAATTAAATCAGTTTCTGCGATGTTTACTTTTCTATTCTATTTATTTCCTCCTGTGGGAAAGTTGTTTTTTACAAATGTCAGATAAACACATTAATGTTTACGTCAATAGCATGTGGATTAAACATGCCAATTTTGAACAACATGAGTATATACATATGTTTGTGCAGATATCAAACTTTATAACATATCTTGCGATCATTTATTCATTCATTATGATTATTTTAATTTGCTTTTTAATCAAAATACTGAAACAATATATAATTTGTTTACATTTTCTGAAAATAACATCTAATATTGTTTATTTTCAGGTATACGTTTGACGATTTTCTATCAGAAATGAAGACAAGACAGAGTAATGTTTATTACGATTTTGAAATTTGCAATATAGAATATTGAAAAATAAAATGTGTAATGGTTGCGTTCTTTGAGCGCCGCCTTTCCTTGTTGATCTTGTTTATCATATTTTTTTTTGGCAGTAAGAAAAATAGTCTGCAAAATGGGTCAAACCGTTCACACCGTATTAATTAGGCTATCAAACCTTCTGCCAGGAGTTCGAATTAGCAACTAGGTAGTCGGGGATTTACACGAATAACCAATTGAATCCCCCGGTCGACGTAGGGCGACGGGGTGATACCATTTGGTAAAATTCGTCTATCTGTTACTTTTTTATGAAAAATTATTTTCTGTTTTTAGAGAAAAACATGTGAAATTCGAATAACCAACTACCTGTGAGTTTGGGATTTTCGCTAATAATCAACTGTGTTGAAAACACACATCATTCTTATTATATATCCGTTTTATTCCGGAAAATCTCTTTCTATTTCGAGTGGAAAACATGCAATGTTCGAATAACCAACTACCTTATACCAACTACCCCATACGACCCAGCAACAAGAACCAGTGGCAAAGAGCCCAGGCGGACCCCAAACAAACCGTTACGCCTTATTTTAACTGTCATTTAACGCACGGAAAATTTACCGGCAACCCTTTCGATAGTTTAAACTAATTTTTACTGCTTAAACCTGAAAGTAACTTGATTTAATGTGGATGGATGGATGGATGGATGGATAAATGGATAGATAGATAAATAGATAAATTTATTTTAGTATTATGCAATAACTTGGTAAAACATATCCAATATATGATAAAACAATGAATTTACGTATAAGAAATGAACCATATCAAAAACATCATACCAAGGATAACACAAGAAAGAAAACTTAATCTCTTATTACTATTGTGGTCCTTAGATACTGACGGTTTTGACAAATGCCTATCACAGTTTGAATTGAAGAAAGACAAGAGTATGCATAAAACATTCAAATTAAAATACATGTAAATAAATCAAAATGATAAATATTAAGACTTGAGGATGGACATCATTCAAAGAGGATCAGTTTATCGTGTTTTCTATGTTTACTGCTTTTTGATGCTTATATCGATGGTGTTCTACACAAATGTTACATTTTTTCATAAAAGCTAGTGTAGGATTAAATTCAAGAATTAAACTTAATATAATACTTAAATTAATAATATATGACTTTAATTTTAAGATCAAAATTATGCATTACAATGATTGTAGACTCTCACAAGCAAATACATGTATAACTAGTACAAAACTTATTCATTAAATAATTTCAACGTCTTATGACATTTTTAGTTTGACAGTATGATATTTTAACTTTTAAACCTAGAGACATGATAGAACTGGAAATAATATTTCCGAGACTTATGATTCATTTGATGAAGTTATAGATGTAAAATTTCAGATCAATTACCTACTCTGATTTTTTACGGAATGATGATTGTAATATTGAGTTGCAATAGTTGCAACGCTTTTCACTCAAATCGGGCCGGGCTAAAAACACCATAAAAAATAACATTTTCAAATTGTTTCTTGGTATATTTCTTCATTTTTCTGATGCATATTTGTCTGTAAAACTTCCCCAGTTGATCAATGTAAGAATCTTTTTTAAGGCTTTTGGGCCTCAGTGGAGTTTATTTAGAATGAAAAATGTTATTTTATTGTGCACGGAACACAGCAAACAATTGAATTTAAAACATAGTGAGGAATGGATGAAAACAAAAGCAATTCAGTATTTGATAAGACTGATGGCTTTTTGAAGTTGAAATGTCATGCATGTGCCAACTTGATGTATGGATACAATTTTAATTAAAGAATAGTGTCAATATTTGTCGTTAAATGGGATTTGTGTCAAAAGATTGCAGTTGATTTGCTGTCAGGTTATCTTCATTACTTTTCGGTAATTCTTTAAATTTATACCATTTGAACACAATTAAAAAGAAGCGTTACACATCTTAAAGAATGTTGACAATGCATAATATTTCAACTTTTTAATTTTCATCTATTTCTGGGAGGACCTTCTCTAAATTTTTAATGAAAAAAAAAATAAAAAAATCTATAAAACAGCAATTTTTCTTCCAAATTATATGTTAGGGCCATGTTTTGACACGGAAAAACGTGATTTTGGGTAAATTCAGGTATTTTCATCATTTTCTGTTAACCCATTACGCGATATACATGTTTTTTTAACGCCATCTTCACCCCCCCTTTTTGTTGTATTAAATGGTAAAAATGCCTTATTTAGGCCCCAACATTTGCTTTTTGTTTGAAAAATGTTGTTTACAAAAGTGACCACTTTTTCGGCGCCACTCCCTATCCAAAAGATAAATCAGGGGGTTGCAAGAAGAGGGATGTGCCTCTTTCTGTTTGGGGGGTTTGAAGGGGGGGGGGGGAGGAGGGCATTCGCCCTCATCGCAAAAAAATTTTTGACTTGTGAGAGGCTAGAAAGGACCCAAGATCGATCATAAGGTAACTGTTACAAACCCTGAAAAGCCTTTGACTCTATCTCAATCCATTGAGAAGTTGCAGCACTTTGAATTCAATTTTGATGGAAAAACCAACGCAAAATAGTTATTTCTGGCAATTTTGAGATGGCCCCTCGTTGCCATGGTGACATGAAATTTAAAGACTGAGCATGTTATTACAAAGGCAATAGTCCAGTCAACATTTGTGCCAAGTTTGGTTAGTATTGAAGCAATTTTTATAGTTTTATAGCAATTTGAACTTGTAACGGGAGACTTTTCAATGAAATTAGCCATTTTTCACAAAATGCTCATGCAGTAATAAGTTAAAGTGTTAATTTTTTATTGAGATTACACTTGATGCAACGTCAAATTAAGAGCGAAGAGGTAATGAAGATTTCAATTGAGTTGAATCAGTAAAACATACGAGAAATAACGAATGCTGAACCTCGGTACGTTCATCGGCATGTAGTCAAACATTATCCAGCCTATGCCTATTTCTGTGCCAAATATTATGACAAATCTTGAATTTATCGATCACTCCTCGTAGTTTATCAAATTGTCACAGTTTGTTATTTGAATTGTAGCGTTAAAATCATAAAATTGTCGGAAGAAAACGAGCATTGATCAGCTAACACGTTATTTGGTGTTTGAATAAATGGGTGATGTGAATTGTCACTGCTAGCTAATTAAGCAATTACAGTTTAAATAATTAAACAGTGATTAAATAATTATTTCCCAATCCCGGGAGAAATTATGTTGAAAATAATCAAGAAATATGGAATGATGATGGACTATATCATCAAATTTATTTAAATTCCTAGAATAAGATTATGATTGATGACAATCAGTCGATGATTAAAATTCATACATGCAAAAAGCGTTAAAAGTAAACTTTAAATGTATTCAAAAATAAAAAGAAATACAGAATGATGATCAAAAAAGAACGTCATAAACGGAAAAATTGAACATGTTACAGATTATTATCAAAAACAAATATTATCAAAGTTTTAGTGATTTGATAATAATGATTATAGCATTATATTACCTTACTGTTATTTTCAAATATAATTTCTTAGTTTCAACAGCTATAGCAACATTTTGAATAATATTATATATTTTTGAATAGATTAATATATTAAGGATACTACTATTTGAATAGTCACCATTTCAGACACCTACAAGTTTTGATATAACGGCAAAATGACAAAACGTGACGCCGAAAGGACACTCGGAATATCTATGCTTGATTGCTGCTTTTCTAACTCAACATCAATGGCTTATGTGACGTTACTGATGATGATGATGATTATGATGATGATGATGAATACGACAATGATGGGTCTGTCAATATCTTTCTGTAACAGATGAATTAATTGGTTGCCTTGAAAAAGTGTAATCCATATTGGGGAGTAGATTTGATTTTATGAAATGCAACTTGGAAAGGTTTAGAAATAAATCACAAATATATTGTTTTTTTAACATGACTTCTGAATTATATATTTTCCGTATTTATTTATAAGTATTTGTAACAACAAACAAAAAGAGTGAAAGAAAACCCCTGAAATTAACACTACTGAGAAAAGTGAAACACTAAAAAATTGAGACAGGTTTTATTATTTTACATTCAAATTTGTAATTTTACATACATCAAAACAAGTTGTCATATTACACAGTAGTTTCCTTGTAATAATGTGTTGTATGTGCTCCACAAACATGTGCAATCTTGGCATTAACTTGGTCTTTTGTTACTTCTGTAACAGAGGCTGTGCTGAGCGTGCTCAAAAGTTTCAGCTGAAATAAAAAATATATAGATTCTTATAATAACAATGTAAATATATAGCAATAACAAAAATATTAATTATGTACCTCTTTTAATCATAGTATTATAAAAAGTATTCTTAAAAAGAAAATACTACACTTAAAGTGGATTGGTCTACAATGGTTACAGTTTCAATAAGTTATTTATGATAAATGTTGCAAAAATAAATAAACAAAAAACAACAACATAATAAAAAAACAACAGAACATTTATGTTGAAAAAAATTGTTCCAGAACAATTTATTATTTGCTATATAGATATATGTAAAACAGGATAATGTATCTCACATTTATCAACAACTTTTTGTTCTAAATATTAAATAACTAAAAATCTAAATGGTATTAAAAACTTTCCAGTATAGACCAATTACTTTACAAATATCAGCACAAACTAGATAACTTCAATGCATTGTATACTAGTTAACAGATATCCGGGCCAGAGTGTATATCATTTTCCATTAAATGCATTATTTTAATATATTGTTTGTATTTAGATCAGATGAAATTTGATTCATTAATTTATTTTTCGAATTTTCCGGAAAGTATATTTTCAGAAACAATTACAAAATAATTCACCGTTATTTATAATAAATTTTTGCTTTTACGTTTCATCAACTTCAGTAAATTTTCAAAATTTAAGAAGAACATTTTGTTAATTAGACATATCATACAAATCAATAAATAAAATGCCTAAAATAGTGTTTAATTATGACCCACTAACTTAGAAATTATTTGACGTAGTAATAAGCAACATTAGACATATGTAGTACTAGTGTCTGTAACAATATGTTTAATTATTGTAACAAAATGTACCTCAACAGCTCTGATACCGGCGTCAGTATGTATCGCAGCTCTCTCGGCATCTGACAATGTGAACATGTAACATAAATGTCCATTTACAACAACCATCATATGCTGAAAAACGTCGAAATATTACATTTAATATTTTTATTAAAAAGATCACAGTGGGACACTCTTGAAAATAGAATTATCGATACATTAGGTATTTTTAATATTATCAAGTTAGGAAAGGAAAAGTCTATATAACACCTTTCTAACAGTATTGAATAGAAGAAAGCAGAATCCCCTAAGAGCCCATTAAAGGCAAATTTAAAAATGTCAAACAAACAAAAAAATTTACTTTCGACACAATTTTTGTGAGCCAACGCAATTAAGAAATAAATAAAAATGAACAATTAAGGAGGACACAAAAGCGCTTAATATTAACACGTTTTTATGTTGGTTTATTATAAAATATTCCTGATAAACAAGTTGAGCATAATTCTTACCGAGTGTGGCTCGTATGCAAATTTAAAAAATTCATGCTCTTGGGGTTCATGTGTAGGTCCTGTACCATGTGGGTGATGAGTATGATGAGGTTTATGCGTAGTCGTCATTGACTGTAAAAATAAATGCAGTATTAGTAGTTATTTGAATGTTTGTTTATTTGATTTGGTTTTACATACCGACACAATAAAGGCCATATGGCGGCGATTCAGCTTTACTCGTGGAGGAAGACCTCAGGTGCCCTTCCGTGCATTATTTCAGGCACAAATGGGGACCTTAGTAGAACCACAAATGTTTTGTAAGCTAGCTGGAGTTAATGTAATATCAAATTATGTATAGTAATTTGAATAATAAATCATTAAACAAGAATTTAAGGGGAGAGGAGGAAAGAGTGTTGGTCCGTCGGTCAATCCATTTAATGGTTTCTGGATGATCACTCTTAAACGAGGCAATGGGTTTTGATGATTTTGGTACCATTTTTTCCTCAGAGTTATACACCTTTCTCCTATTTTGATAACAATTTAAACAAAAACCTAAAACACTCCCTCTGGATGTAATGGATTGTTAAATTTTACTAAGATATGGCCCTTTTTGTACCTCTTTAGATGGGCAAAAAATATAATTATTATTCGTACACATATGTAACATCATACAATAAAGTTGAAATTAAAATTTCTTTTTAGAAAACTACTTTTTCACATATGTTTGGCGCCGTTTTCTCATATTCTAGTTTTGTTTCTTACAAAAATAACAAATTAATATGAAGTTCAGCATGATAGCTCTTTTAATGAGGCAGTTGATCATTCTTATGTAACATAATTATGTGTAATACCATTAAAAATAAAAATGGAGATCAATTTTGGCTACAAACCTATATTTCTGATTGATTTTGTCTTAAATTTTGCAGAAGCTCCTAAAATGGCAATGGTTTGAAACAATTTTAGTGAAACATCATGAAGTACTGTTAGAGTTGGAAAAAGACTTCGGACAACAAAGTTTTCCCCTTTTATTGATGACCACTTTTAGATAAAAAATCACAGTTTTCAGATGAAAACTCGTTTAACATGTGATGCAAATATAATAAAATCATTAAATGCATGCCAAGAGTACAAACTTATTTACAGACTAATTACAATGACTTTGCAAATACATATGACGTCTTTCCAATTTTATTTTTTCTTGAAGGCTGAAATCAATTTTTCTGACCTTGAAATTAAATATTTTTGGTGCAGCCTTCATGTGGCCTTTGTTTTCATTGTTGGTGCTATATGTCTATACAAGGTGGCATACTGGGGATAATTATCAATTTAAGCGATAACTCCTATTGAAAGAAGTGGCCATCATAGATGGGAATTGCAAATTCTTATAGTACATTACGTATAAAGGTTAAGTTGGGGATATAAATCACCCGAAGTGACCGCTCTAGTTTAATTTGTCTTCTGAAATATACCTCTATTTAACTATTAACCATTTTGTTAAGCATAAGTCATTAAATGAGTGTTTAATGTACGTGTGTTATGCATGCATGTTAAAATTTGTCAAACATAAGTTTTTGCTACATCAATGAACTTTGGTTGCGCCAATTGTAAATTTTGAATGAAATGATTAAATACAACCACAGAATATAAACTTTAAATGCATTGTATCAAATTGATGTAAGCTTGTCCAGAAGTGAAATATGTATGTACATGTATAATAATACTTGCCATAGCATATGCAACACAAAATAAGCCAATAATTACTGCACGGATCATGGTTATTCCAACAACTGCCCGGTACCAAGTAAAACTAAATTTCAGTGGCACTTGATTATATAGCAAAAATCTTATCTCAAAAAATGTGATATAACATTTAGTCACGATTAAAACTTGGCTCTAAAATTAACTTTGACCCCTTTAATCAGAAATAGACCACTTTAATCAGAAATTAATATAGCATTTTTATATGTTTATCTCTATAAGGAACGTGACATTTGGTTAAATTTTAACTAGATCACTGAATGCGATTCCTACCCCCCCCCCCCTCCAAACACAGACCAATCAATATATTTTGTGTGAAAATAGCTTGGAATGTTGGGAAAGGTATTGGGACTATGTTGGGAAAGGTATTGGAACTATTTGTAGATATGGAATTTGCTGAATTATACTGATTTCAGTGGAAAAGGAGCATTATAACTTGCCTCTTTTCAAGATAATATCCATATTGCTAGATATATTCCAGAAAAAATGAGATTTTATTATATTTTCTAAGTGAAAAGGGGCTTACTAATATCAAAATAAATATCAGAGTTATCAGTATTTAAAACTTTAGCTGCACTGTAATGTTGTGTCAATATTTAAAGATTTATTTTCATATCAATACAAACAATAAGTAAGAATGAGGTGTTTCCAAATGGTGCATACATGTACTTTTGACAAACTACCAATCGAAGTTATCAAACTTGGCACACGCAACTGCATTGAGATATTGCCTTGATAATTTAAGTTTCAAGTTATTATCTCTACTTGGTCCTGATTACATCAGGGTCGATATATATATTAAGTTATTTCAATCCATTACCTCCTGAGAGAGCAATTATCTAGAAACAATGTTTTTTCACATTTTTTTATCAAAATCAAGAGAAAAAGGGTTGGTCATTTTGACAAAGCTATTCCAACAAGATATGTCTGGTGGTGGTATAAATATATCGTTTCACACGTTCTTATCAAACTAGCTCATTATCATCTGACAACGCTTAGAAATGTTTCACATTAAAGTCCTTATCTTTATCTTGTTCCTTTGAAAGACACCCCTTATCAATTTAAAATGCACGACACAGGTGATCGAGTACGAAATAAATAGAACATAGGTGCAGATATTATGTATTAAATCAATTTTGAAAGAAACCATTTATTGAATGTGTTTAAAAATAACATCTACCAAAAATATTTTTTAATCAATCGTATACTGGTATTTTATATATTTTTGTATAATAAACAGTTATTATGTAACCTTGATAGTAACCTGTTGCACTGGTTGCAGCAAACTTTGAATTTACAATTCTTAGACACCCTTTATGAATTAAATAAATTTCTGTATAGCGTTATACTTTCGAGAGATTAAAGGCAAATTATTTTTACAAGAATATAAACAGACATAATATTAATGTCATGCCCCAGTAAAACAATGTCAATGATCACGCAGAATTCAAATTAACATAATGTGCTTGAACAAAAAAGAATGATTAAAAAAACTTGTACTTGACAACTGAAAAATACATGTATAAGACATCCAAATTGAAAATTAATAAAACAGAATAGACACTTTGTACTATTAATCACAAGGAAGATTTCTAGTTTTTATTTCAATGTACTTTTGTGAAATACTTAATCTCAAATCAAATTATTCAAATAAATTGCCCCAAAAAGGTTGTTAAAAAAGAAAGTTTCATAAATGAATCATTACCTCTTGTAAAAAAGTATATTTGTATACGAAAAACTCTTGACAGAATAAACACAGAGTTAATTCATTTCATAATCTCTTTTTAACTAGATTTTAACTAGTACGTGTTTAATTTTCAACAATACATTTTTCAAAAGAATAAATATTAATTTAAAATGACAAAGGCTTTCTGTCGTAAATACAAATTAGCCATTTGTTTACATAATGCTTCTGAATATATTTTAATATAATCAACTATCATTATCATAACGTTAATCATACCGTAAAGATTTGATAAGAACATAAACCCCAGCTTTTTGGCAGTTGGTCTATTCTCTTTTGAATTTTGATCTTTTTGTTCTTATCTTGTTCGCAAATTTTTCAATTGTTTATTTTCGTTTACAGTAAATTTAAATAAATACTTTCCAAGGCAGTTTTAAATTTAAGTGTTCATGTTTATGATAAAGCATTATCATGATTTTAAACGGTAACTTTTTGGACTATATATACTATCAAATGTTCGGACAATGTATAGAGATAGAGCAGTCTTAATTCGTATTTGTATACATAAATTAGATGGGGATATGTTTTTTTTCATTCTTAAAAACTATTTTGACGTAAAAACTTCGTTCAGTTACGGCAAACGCTGGGAGATAAGACTCCTAAGTATGAATGTAAGAAATAGAGGATATTGAAAGAGTTCTAGTTGAATTCTGACTTTATTTAACAGTTGAATAAAATTATATTTTTCAACGGGTTCAATAAATTCAACAATTAACTTAAACAAATTTTAATATTCTATTTATCACATGCTAAAAATAAAGATCGATTGAAGTACAAAAGAACAATTTTCCATTGACGCGCTTGAAGTGTAACGTTAATATTTAATACATATAATAAAATAATATATCCCAAACAGTGATTTTATTGCTAAATAAAATCACTGTTTGGAGTTCGGATAATATAATTTGGGTTTGAAATGAATTGTAGTGGCGTATCCCAGTTACCGAATTAAGCTTTGTGATGGACTGTTTCATCATGTGCCTCCTATTTTCATCTTAACAGCGATTCAGATTTAAAAAAAATCAAATAGACATAAGGTCTAGAAATCAAATAAAATTGAAAACAGATAGAAACATTAGTTATTAAAGAAAATATAGGTTTAACTTATAAAAAAGTAAAAATGACAACACTTGACACCTGATGTTAGCGACATGAACTAGCTTGGAAGTAGCTATAGAGCATTATACCGTATACCTCCGAAAGAGGCAGCTCTATCCGGTACCAGGCCGTGTATGTTCAAAAGGGGAAATTGCGCTTCGTGTTAGAACACGTCTTAACGGTATGTTTGTATAATGCTACGTCAAAACAATATTATATGCATGGCCGTGCAATACCATTTTACGGAGTATTATCATTACGGGTATATGACAAAATGTAGTGATTTGCGTGACTGAACAATGATATATCACGCCAAGAAATCATTTTAAGGTTAACAACCATTTTTTTTCTATTTTACTTCGACGCAAATGAATTAAGTTCCTCTTTACGTAATGTAAAAGTTTAAAAGAAACATGATTTTATACGTATTTAGACGTATTGGACAAAGACAACATAATGTATTGCTAGCGTGACAATAACAGAATTTTCCCCGAGTTTTCTCTCTGCAACAGCGACTGTATCGCGTTTTCCGCTTAGCCAACAGCGACTGTATCGCGTGTTCCGCTTAGTGGTACCAATTCGTCTTGAACTCTTTCAAAGCTAATAAGTGCAACCTCATCATATGATGTCGGTACAAATGATGATTAAACTCTGGAATATACAAATAACATTTAATAAAAAAAGAATTTGAGTACAATTTTTATTTCATAAAATAATATTTTCTTTAAATGCTACAAACAATCAAATTGAAATTTCTTCAAAGAGTATGTTATAGTCACATTAAGACCTATAGTCAAAATAAAGACTTCATCGATCTTTGAATAGGATAATAGAAGCAGTTTATGCCAAACAAATTGTATATGTTTCTATTGAAAGAACGCTACTGTTCATATTGTCACTTTCCTATCTGGAATCACGGAAGTTCAGATTTTTTATGAAGGATTTATGACAAACCTGTGTCCCCCACAAAAATAATACATGTAACAATATTAAGCTTTTGGTTTGAGTGGTTCGAGAAGTCGGCTCAGGACTACTTTTATCGGAGAGTCAACAGAACATAGAATATTATTTTATAACTATTTAGTTTTTATCGTTGTAGACTTATCTGCGGACAAATCAAACTGCATTGATGCCAAGTGAATAGATTTGTGAAATGCTTTTTCCAGTACCCAGACATACTACGTTTGCATGATATTGATATATTTTCATTGACTGTTTCTATTTACTGATTAACAGAATTGTAGAGGAAAGTTATATAATAATTTTACTTTTACGATATACATTACTGGTATCAGTTTTGTTATCTATCAGTCTAAACACTTCAACAACATTTAGATTAAAGTCATTTAACATTTCGCATATCTTAATTACATCTGCCAACAGTGCCTCATTTTCAAGTTTGATTATGTTAGATTTCTTTCAGAATATGATCATTCGGTAATATGATTTAATTCTTGACCAAAGATCGTAAACACTAAGAACTCAAAAATGTATTTTGTTTTCAGAAACACGTTTAAGGCCCGTTTATTTTCAAGAGAAGAATACATACAGGCATATGATAACTTCATTATTTACGTATATAATAAATAATATATATTTTTGTAAGGATAGTTAGGAAAAGTAGAAACTAGAAAATTTCAGACATTAAATAAATTAAAGAAGCTGAATTATATAAAATACATAAGAAAAAAGAAAAAGAGTAAATAAACTGCTTTGGTAATGTAAACAAATCTGTCAAGCTTTAATCTGTTAAAATAAGTAATGTCTGGACTTGGTTTCGTTAATTTATTGGTACATGTATTTATGAAGTATTTATATATATCAGGTTTTCTAAAGAGTGCAAACAGGATGTAAAATTATCATACGTTATAACTATTTCTTTAAGTAATTTGAATAGTTAACTACAGAATAATGGTACTGTTTGTCAGTTCCAAAGCAGTGACAGCATCTGTTTAATTAAGCAGAGTCATGTTTGAGAACAGCAATTGCTTCGAGAACAAAGGAATTCGCTTAGAAATCGCTTATTGTTATCTTCGAGTGTGTATTCATCCGGTCTCTCGAATCTTCTTAGAAGATATTCTGAGGTTTTCAATAATATTTATCAATTCAATAATTTTGATTTACTATCATTAGCTCCGGTGAAATATGAAGAAAGTTCTGGAAATAGTTCCATTATTTTTTCTTTATAATGCGGATAATTGTAATTTGAGTCATAAATTATTTCATTCAGCATTTCTTTCAATTGAATCATTTGATTGACAAACGGTGTGTAGCATTCTGAGTCTCTCATAATAAGATGGATTGTGTCTGAAATTTCAGACGGCCACCAGAAAGAGTTTACTGTTAAAACTTTAGATTTGTCGAGTTTCTCTTTGTCAAACATTGCTGTCAAACGATCAAAACATTGTTTCAATGTTAATTTACTTGTTTCTTGACTCGCCATTTCACATACTAGTACATGTAGGTATACGCTCATCGAACGTTAGTTATACACATATTTGTACTGTTACAGGGTAACACCATATCTCTATTATTTGTGACAGGTCTATATTTATCGAAAAGATCTGTTTAAACAAATTGTTCTTGTCAGACAGACCCGGTCATGAAAAACACGTTAAACAAGAAGTATCTTTAAAAAATACTTGGCCTAAGTAAAACTGCTTTTACTTGCGTAGGTTATTTCGGAGGTGCGTATACATGATGAAATGATAGCAGCGATTGCTATTATATGTGCGAATTCTCAGTTGATGAAGGGATATTTTAGTCTTGGAAAATAAAGTGTAAACCATAAATAAAATTAATAAATCGTCAAAGTTTCCTGTTTTACAGTATTTATTGTACATGTGTTTGTTAAGTTTTTTTTCGGCCGAATGCCGGTTTATTTTCCGTTTGACTTCCTGTAAGTCAAAATTTCATTGGTCATTTTAAAATTACAATCTGAAATCTCTGCATTCGATTGGGTATTGTAAAATAAGTAAAACAATTATGGATTTTTCTGACATTGTATACGCGTCTAATTTTTAATTGATCTAAATGAGTCTTGAAACGAACTATCTACATTCATAAGTTCTTTAACTGTCAAGTTACATTTCAGATACTTAAGTTTTGTTTCACTACACATAATAAGATCTTTATTGCCATGCATCATCCTACAGATTATTTTACGCTGCTTTAACGAGTTATAAATTTTGTCAAACATTAACGAAAGCACCACTTACAAGTACATTCACGATCCTGTTTACTCATGCGCATGAAAATAGCGAAAAGAACACAAGAAAAAAATGATTTGTTTATAATAAATATTTGTCAAACTATTTAAGATTATTAGAAAACTTTCTTTCGGTTCTTTTTCGGTATCTTTCGTTATTTCAAAAGGTGTTGCAAATCTGTTGATTGGGGTATTACGTATCCATTTTGTTTCTATCTAAAATACTTTGTACATATGATTTTTAGTATTTCTAAAATATAAAAGTAAAATTCAATAATAGACTCAATATCATAATCCATAGGTTTCTATTTCCATGTTTCCTAAGATACGATATGCAAATTAACCAGTAATAGTTTGGCCGAGTATCTATTTAAAGATACTTCTTGTTCCTTTTATTTTAACAAAAGTTAACAAGTCTGCTACGAACGCCCCTGTTTGTCAATAATGGCATGCATATACAAAAAAAAATAAAGTGGATTGGTCTACAACGGCACATAAGTATTTCAAATATCGATAGAAACAAAAAAAAACTTTATTATTTTGATATTCTTAAAAATATTTCTTGAAAATAAAATGTAATAAAGTTTTAAGTGACTGAGTATAAAAAATATATGATGAACAATCATAGTTTGTTCTAGAACAAATTATTTTCTGCTATGTAATAGTTATAGTACATGAAACGAGTTAGTTACGAGGATATAAAACTGGCTGGGGCGACATCAAGGGGTGTTTCTGCTAAAAAATGGCAAGGCCGTTAGGCCGAGACAATTTGTTTTTGCAGAAACATCCCGAGATGTCGCCCCAGCCAGTGTTATACCCCCGTAACTAACGAATTTCATATACTTTAACTGTTTTATCGCAATGACATAATGTTTTCTTTTTTGTAATAGAAACAACTAAATAAATAAATAAATCGTTAGCTACATTACAGTTATATTTATGATAAAGCAGTTTTTTCAAGTTGTTTTCGCTGCCGCAATAGAAAAAATATACAAAAGATATCCAATGTTAGAGGCGGATTGTAAACTGTTACCAAGATTGATTCAATATTAAAAGGCTTTTTTCAGTGGAAACAATTCATTCAGCGGATGTACCTTTAGATTAAATGAGAGTAAATTTCATTTCAGAATTATCTTAGTTAATATTTTTCATTGTATTTATATATTTATTTTATTTTTAATTATTGATTCCATTTTTTCATTATTTTTATTTGCTACTGGGAATGGTCGTTACCACTGCCCCATTGGAGCCTCTATGAAAAAAACTGGATTGATATATACAAGGTGCGAAAAAAATCTCTACCGATATATAACAGTCGAGTTTTTTTCCTGTGTGAATCAATGAAAAAACTGTACTGTTATATATCAATACAGTTTTCAAATGCTCATTGAAGTGTACTGAGTATAATGGGTAAGTAAGAACAAAGGAAAAGTTCCAAACTATGCGATAAACATAAAATATAATAACGGTTAATGTATCTCACACTTGAAAACATAATACAAATGTAAGTCTTTCGTGGGCTGCAATGTCTGATACGAAATACTATCAACATAATTATTCATGCATTCACATGCCTTTCATTACAGACCTATTCACTTAAATATTGACAAATGCACCTTTAACATCTTATATTATTATTTTCAAAGGGAAAAGCAGAGTAAAATACATGATAATTGTTATTCTTAAGCAGAATGACGATAGACGTTTTTTCTATACATGTATGTGCGCTGTGTTAAAAATAACCTTTTTGCATTATACCAAATGCTTCGGATAAGCCATTGTTCAAGTTAATAGTTTGACGATGTGTAAGTTGAATAACGGCCTAGTATATAGATCTTTCTGTTTAAGAAAAACCTGGTCACGAATTTCATAAACAGAAAGATCTCGTACTCGGTCGATATTCCTATACATGAAAATCTGGTGGGTTTTTTTTTTCAAGAGCACGCTAGAACATAAGACTCTCAAGTATGAAATAAAAGGAAAATGACAGCAAATTATAATTTACAGCAAGAAGATATCGTTGAAAAGTTTATGATATAAAAGTTAAAAAAATCATACTGGACAGAGACAACATACTGCATTGCTAGCGTGACATTGCCAACATTTCCACGAGGTTTCATTTTCCAAAAGCGACAGTAGCGCGTGTTCCGCTCAGTGGTACAAATTTGTGGGCTAAAAAGTGCAACCTCATCAGATAATGTTTGTGGCAATGATGATTAAACTTTGGAAAACGTAATTACATTTTAGAAAAGATTGAGACATAAAGAATGCACCAAAAGACGATTTTCTTAAAATATTGCAAATGATCAAAATTAATTTTCGTTCAAGATGTATGCTTAAGTTACATTAAGACTTATAGACAAAATAAAAACTACACACTTTAATAGTACCCAAACATATAAGGTTTGGATCATATTGAATATAAACATTTATAGTGATATATTTTTATTGTCTGCTACTTATTAGTGATCTACAGATATGAAAATGGGCATGCGGTTTGAAAAAACCGTGAACTTGTTTGCATTGCCATTGTTTCATTTAACGACATACATTTTATCACAATATATAAAAAATAGCAATATTTACATAAAAATCATGTGACATTTCGAATACCTTAGTTAGATTTGCTATTAGTGCCTCATTATTTTCAAGTATAATTATTTTGTATAAGTTTCAGAATATTACGATTTAATTCTTGGTCATAGATCGTATACACTTAAAACTCATAAACATACATGTATATGATAACGCAGATAACAAATAACATTATTTTATGTTTGTAAAGATAAGTAAGAAAAATACAAACTAGAATATTTAAGACATTAAATGAATCAATGAACCTCAATTACGTTATAACTATTCCTGTTTCATTTAGCCATTTGAATAGTTTACTACAAAATATTGTACTGTTTGTCAGTTCAAAAACAGATGCAGCAAAATATAATAACAGCAATTTATAAGAGAAAAAAGGACTTGCTAGAAATCGTTTATTGTTATCTTGTTATCTTCGTGTGTGTACCTTATCCCCCGGTCGAACCTATGAAGAATGTTCTCCGAAAATGTTTTTTTCACAATTTTGATTTACATCACTAGCCGATACGTTTCATTTTCCGTGGAAATATGAAGCAAGTTTTGGAAATAGTTCCTTTAATTTTCCTTTATAATGCGGATATTTATAACTGGGGTCATATATAATTTCATTCAGTATTTCTTTGAATTTAATAATTCCATCTACATATGGTTTGTAGCGTTTTGAGTCTCTCATATCCAGATGTATTTCTTCTGAAATTACAGAAGGCCACCAGAAAGAATTTACTTCTAAAACTTTAGATTTGTCTAGATCTAGATTCCCTTTGTCAAACAATGCTGTTAGACGATCAAAACATTGTTTTAACGTTAATTTACTTGTCTCCTTACTCGCCATTTCAAATACTAGTATTTTCCATGTATAACTTGCAAAGCTTTCATGACTTCCTTGATTTGATATAGTTAAGTCTGGTATATGACCTTCCAGACCCTCATCGTTTGGATCAATACGAACAAGTACGTCAAAATTGTGGTCTAGATCTCCAAAACATTTCATTAATTTATAACAAACAAACCAGTTATGGTATATAGATTTTTCACATTGCCATGTTTTCATTATGTCTCTTTCATACTCCGATAATGACACCATATAATTACGACTGGCGAACTCGCTCTTGGCTTCCCGATGTTGGTCATCGCCTTTGGTGTACAAAAGCTCTTCAAATAATATTTCTATACTTTTAACTGGAAGAAGTAAAAAGTGGTCTGGCTTATGAATTAAGTGTTCCGCGCATGAACAACCCTGAATAAAAGCTGGAAATTCGTCTGCAAAGATTTCATCATATATTGCTATAGCTGGAACAAGGTCAATTGAAATGAACAAATTTTTATCACCTTCTGGAGAGCACCATTTCACAAGTTTATGCAGTTTAAAAGCAGGACCCTTCATTCCATAATTTCTGACACTCTCAATGTCCAGACATAAGCTGTTTTTTCCTCGACGAATAGGGCCTGCCTCACTTACTTTTAACAAAGCGCTTTCAAGTCTCAAGAAATTCAGCGTCCTAAAATCTTTAGAAAGAAATAGTTCGTTATTTTTACCTTTGCCTATCTGACAAAATCTTCGATCATTCGGTTTAACTGTGCAGTTTGCAAACAAAATATCTCTTTCATTCGAAGGAGGTAATGTCTTTAAAACACCAGGAGAGTACGTAAATGCTATGACAAAGTCGAATTCATCGGGGTCACATATTTTAGTTCCTTCAGCCATGCTCCCAGCATCGGAAATTTTTATGTTTGTTACACCTTCATGTTCTAGTTCTTTCTTGTGCGGCCAAAATGCTTTAGCTACTATTCTTTCTACCATCTCTCTAGTTGCATCAATCATATCTGGAAGTTCAGCAGAATATCTTGCGTCTGTACTAATATCTGTGTATAGGTGTTGTAGAAAATCTTCAACATTTTCCTCTCCCTTAAGTTTATGGTCAGCCATGATGTCCCTTAAAAATGAATATAGATTAAATATACACATTGCAAAAATAAAATTGAAATGTTTGTAGAAGTAGCCTAGAACTTTCATTAATTTTGATATAGCACAATTTCTCGAGTAAACCCGATATCTGATAAATGAATGCAACTTATGATAAAGAACAGAAAATTCAAAACACTCATAGATGTACTAAATATATCAGAAAAAAATAATTTGAAACAAAATTATAAATTTTACAAAATGAATATGCTGAAAGTTTTAACACCGAAAGTTTTCTAATAAATAGGCTGAAGGTTATGGTTATGATCTGAAAGCATTTTAATGACATTATATAGGTTTATACAAATGCAAATGCAGGTTTTTATCAGTTTAATTATAACAAAAATGTTTTGTGTGTTAACGAGAAAATATCAAATTTCTACTATGACATCATCCGTACAGTACACGCGGGCGTCCTATATAATTGGTAGGTCCTTGTACCTCATCAATTTTAATGAAAGCAGCTTGAATTGCCACAGGACCTTTGTCCAAAATAGGGGGTTATTCTATATGGGAAA